AGGTTCATTGCTGCAGATATCACCCGCCTCCAGTCATCTCTCTGGTTGGTCTTCAGCGTTCCGAGCCCTTGAGGTTCATTGCTGCAGATATCACCCGCCTCCAGTCATCTCTCTGGTTGGCCTTCAGCGTTCCGAGCCCTTGAGGTTTATTGCTGCAGATATCACCCGCCTCCACTCATCTCTCTGGTTGGCCTTCTCTTTCCAGTTGGTAACAAAAAGTGTCTGCAGGTCTGTCTGGATATTATCTCTCCATCGTCTTGTTGGTCTCACTCGTGGTCTACGACCATTCAGGCCCCTTATTTACACAGTTTTTACTTCTCTGTCATCTGACATTCACTCAATATGCTCGAGCCATTTCAGTCTATTAGTTCTCATGATGCCAGTTATCAATGGTGATTTAAACAGATTATGAATTTCGTTGTTGCCTCTCATTCTACATTCCCAGCTGTTTGCATGTTTGATGTGTCCAAAGATTCGTGGTAATATTTTTTTTTTTTTTTGGGTGGAAATTTGAAATGAGGCTTCATCTCTTTTAGTTGTGTTCCAAGTTTCAGAGTCATATAAAATGACTGGTCTTATCAACGTGGTATTTATTTTGATCTTGGTTGTTGCGAGATAAAGACTTTGACTTTAGCAAATGTTGAAGGGCATAGTATACCTTTTTTCCAGTTTGTATTCTAGATTGTATTTCTTCTCTCAGCATGTTGGAGCAGTTGAAGTTTGCACCCAAATATTTATATCTTTCCGTTAGTTTTATTTTCATATATCGACTTATATGTGGCCGGAGTTTTTATCCTTTCCTTGTCTTCTTATTATCATGATTTATTTCCTCTCTTGATTGATAACTAGTCATATTTTGTGAGTTGTTTCTTTTAAGAGAGTCAGTGTTTGTACAGTCTCTAGTTCATTTTCTCCAAAGATATCAATGTCATCTGCATAACCAAGTATTCTTTTAGTTTCTCCTTAAATATTATCTTTATTTTTTTTTCAATTTTCTTATAATTTTCTCCAAGGCCAAGTTGAAAAGAAGTGAGGACAAAGCATCATCCTGTTCTAAACCAGATGTTATTTGAAAAGGGTCCGACTTTCTGCCTGTATATGTTATTATGTTACAAGTGTCTTCCATACAAAGTTTAGTCATGATAATTACCTTCCTTGGTATTCCAAAATCCTTCATAGCATTTCATAAACTGTTTCTATGTGCACTATCATATGCCGTTTTACAATCCACAAAACATGTATGTCTCTTCTATATTCCCAAATCTTTTGTTTCAGCGTTTGGTTTTTTCCGGTTTTTTAAAATCATCATCATCATGTAGCAAGTCCTTTGCAGAACGTTGCTCTAATCACAGTCTGCCCGAAAGAAACTCGGTCTCTTGCCAGTTCTCCCGCCTCATGAACTTTCAAACTCAAGGAGTCACTTATATCCTGTGCCCATCTTCGTGTCGGTCGGCCCCTGCCCCTCCTCCCTGGTACCATGCCTTCTGCTATAATTTTTTTCAATCCGTCGTGGCGCTTGATATGACCAAAATATTTCAGAAATGATGCTGTTTATTAGCCAATCTTCCTTGATGTTCAGATCTTTTAGGATGTCAATATTTCTCATCTTCTTTGTCCAAGATATTCTTTTTTAAAATAGTTTTTTGTTTTCTGTTTTATTTTTATTTTTAATATGAAATGCTTACCTATGAGAGTAGTCATTCTTTGGTTACTTTGGACGTATAGAAGTCTTCATTATATGCAGATGTTCTAGAAAGGAACCTTTACTGAGAAGAACCTAGGGACCAGAACTGAATGGTGCCGTGGACAAGCAAACGAGGTTCAAATCTTGTTCTGTATTAAATTTTTTTTTTTAAATCCAGAAACCATGAGTTGATCGAAGAGCCTGAATTTTAAGAAGTACTGTATGTCATAACACGGCTTAAAAATAATAAAGCCACTAACTGGTGCTGATGGAATTGCAACTAAACTTATAAAAGAAGGTGGTCCTGCAATACATGTACAGTTTTAACAATTAACAAAACTAGTTTGGAAGTTTGGAAGTTTGCGCATAAATGCATTTGAATATAAATGTTACAGACAGGTTCTAAGAATATCTTGGGTAAAGAAAAGAACAAATGCATCCATACTTCAGGAGCTGAATATTGAAGAGGGTTGGCTAGTAAAGACAATAAAACAAAGAAAATTGAAATATTTTGGTCACTTGAAACGTCATGGAAGTCTAGAGAGAACAATAATGGAGGGGTATATGCCTGGGAAGAGAGGAAGAGGAAGGCCAAGGAGAAGATGGGTGCAGGATGTGGCAGATGATCTCCAGATGGGTGTATCAGACGCAGGACATCTTGCTCAGGATATGAAGGTTTTCCGGAGGGTTGTTATGGCAGCGAGGTTCCGCGAGGGACATGCTACTGAATGAATGAATGAATGAGTTTGGAAGACGGAGAAATTACTCCATGAATGTGAAGTGTCTTTATTAACACCCTTTTAATTTAAGAAATGAGAGTATAAGTGTGAACATTACAGAGGAATATCACTGTTATCTACAAGCTATAGGATACTATCGGCGGTACTGCTAAACAGGCTAAAACTATACGTCGAAGACACATTGGGAGATTACCAAGCGGATTTCCGATAGAACTGTTCAACAACAGATCACATATTCATATTACGGCATTAGCAGAGCAAAATTAGGAATATAGAAGAGATATACATAATGCTTTTGTGGATTTTAAAAAGGCGTATGATAGTGTACATAGAAACAGTTTATGGAATGCTATGAAAGACTTTAAAATAACAAAGAAGTTAATTACCATGACCAAACTGTGTATGGAAGACACTTGTAAAATAGTAATATATGAAGGCAGAAAGTCAAACCCTTTTAAAATGTCATCTGATTTAAAGCAAGGTGATGCTCTGTCAACGTTACTTTTCAACTTGGCCCTGGAGAAAATCATAAGGAAATTGAAACAAGAAAGTACTGTAGGAGAATCTATAAGAATACTTAGATATGCTAATTACATTGATATCATTGGAGAAAATAAACTAGAGACTGTTTGAACACTGACTCTTTTAAAAATATCAGCTAAAAAAATGGGACTAGTTATCAATCAAGATAAGACGGACTACGTGATAATAATTAGACAGGGAAAGGATATAAATTCCGGCCTAATACAAGTCAATAATATGAAAATCAAACGAACGGAAACATAAAAGTACTTGGGTGCAAACTTCAACTGCTCCAACATGCTGAGAGAAGAAATACAATCTTGAATACAATCTAGAAATAAAGTAAAATATGCTCTTCGATATCTGCTAAAATCAAAGTGTCTGTCTCGCAACACAAAGATCAAAATATATAAAACGTTGATAAGACCGGTTGAATGTTTAATGCAACAAAAGCCATGACAGAAACAGTTAAAATAACACATGAGAATGAGTGTTTACTGTGAAAAATGCCAGGACAGAAACACTTAAAAAAGCTTATGTGACTGAATGTTTACTTCAATAAACGCCAAGCTGAAGCCCTTGATATATAGCATTTTTAGACTGAATGGTTGGCGAAGAAATGTAAGGACAGAAAAAGATAAAATAGCATCTAAGACTAAATGTTTACTGTAACAACCGCCAGGATAGAAACAGTTGAACGAGCACCTATGACTGAATGTTTACTGCAACAAGTAGCAGGGCAGAAACAGTTAAACCAGCACCTATGACTGAACGTTTACTGCAACAAGTAGCAGGGCAGAAACAGTTAAACCAGCACCTATGACTGAACGTTTACTGCAACAAGTAGCAGGGCAGAAACAGTTAAACCAGCACCTATGACTGAAACGTTTTACTGCAACAAGTAGCAGGGCAGAAACAGTTAAACCAGCACCTATGACTGAATGTTTACTGCAACAAGTAGCAGGGCAGAAACAGTTAAACCAGCACCTATGACTGAACGTTTACTGCAACAAGTAGCAGGGCAGAAACAGTTAAACCAGCACCTATGACTGAATGTTTACTGCAACAAGTAGCAGGGCAGAAACAGTTAAACCAGCTTCTATGACTGAATGTTTACTGCAACAAGTAGCAGGGCAGAAACAGTTAAATCAGCTTCTATGACTGAATGTTTACTGCAACAAGTAGCAGGGCAGAAACAGTTAAACCAGCTTCTATGACTGAATGCAACAAGTAGCAGGGCAGAAACAGTTAAATCAACATCTATAACTGAATGTTTGCTTCAACAAGATGTACAATTTCACACAAGACTGAATATTTATGATAACACCCGCTTAGAACAGATGTGAGTTTAGCCATAACACCCACCCCCCTCTTCCCACACAACCACCGCCTCCCCTTTTCTCCAGCCCACCGAAATAAATGTACTCCTATACAAACAATATATTAAGCACAAGCCACGAAGATTTGCCGCTAACACTTTATTTCCTGACTTTTCTCTCAGATTCCCAATACAACAACCCTGCTCAACGTCTGGGACCAAGCTGGCAAGGATCACTACTGCAACAAGTAGCAGGGCAGAAACAGTTAAACCAGCACCTATGACTGAATGTTTACTGCAACAAGTAGCAGGGCAGAAACAGTTAAACCAGCTTCTATGACTGAATGTTTACTGCAACAAGTAGCAGGGCAGAAACAGTTAAATCAGCTTCTATGACTGAATGTTTACTGCAACAAGTAGCAGGGCAGAAACAGTTAAACCAGCTTCTATGACTGAATGCAACAAGTAGCAGGGCAGAAACAGTAAAATCAACATCTATAACTGAATGTTTGCTTCAACAAGATGTACAATTTCACACTAGACTGAATATTTATGATAACACCCGCTTAGAACAGATGTGAGTTTAGCCATAACACCCACCCCCCTCTTCCCACACAACCACCGCCTCCCCTTTTCTCCAGCCCACCGAAATAAATGCACTCCTATACAAACAATATATTAAGCACAAGCCACGAAGATTTGCCGCTAACACTTTATTTCCTGACTTTTCTCTCAGATTCCCAATACAACAACCCTGCTCAACGTCTGGGACCAAGCTGGCAAGGATCACTACCGTCGTTGGTGTCGACACCTAAACGTTTGATAGACGTTCAACAACCATCATCTAGAGATGCACTCTCCGGACGTCCAAGCTGGCCTTACTCTATACAGCAAGTGGAGACTAAAGCGGATGTTTCATTTCTGTACATGAGCAAGAAATCACCTGTCAAAGGTATGTCTGTGCCTACACTCTGTACATGAGCAAGAAATCACCTGTCAAAGGTATGTCTGTGCCTACACTCTGTACATGAGCAAGAAATCACCTGTCAAAGGTATGTCTGTGCCTACACTCTGTACATGAGCAAGAAATCACCTGTCAAAGGTATGTCTGTGCCTACAGCCGATTTGTTTTATGAAATGTTAAGGGAAAGAGACAAACTGGGTCAGCTTGGGTAGCGTCTGAGACAACTCAGATTGTTATTAGTCTGGAAAGAGAGAGGCAGCGTCTGTTAAAAAAAAATATGCAAATAAAGAAATATGTCTGTCTGTCTGTCTGACTGACTGTCTGTCTGTCTGTCTGTCCATCTATCCCTCCATTCATTTATCCTTCCATCCATCCATCTATTTATCTATTTATCTATCAATCAGGCAGTCTTTTGTATGTGTGCGTGTGTGTGTGTGTGTGTGTATATATATATATATGTATGTATATATATATATATATATATATATATATATATATATATATATATATATATATATATATTTGTATGTGCGTGTGTCTCTCTTTCTCTCTGTGTGTGTGTGTGTGTATGTGTGTTTATTCGTCGATCCCTAAGCCGCCAATTATTCTAGCTGCAATACTCCCGTGTCATCATGTCGGTTCTGTGTACGGACACGGCAGTTGGTTTTCCTACTTTCATTTATTAGTTTATGTTTTTATTTTTCTAATTTTGAACCCTTTCTGACCTAATTGGGCATAGATCTTCAGTCAACTCACGCTGAGTCGTCCTGTCGTTTGCTATCGCATGCAGCCACCCATGTCCGCCCCATCTTTTTTTTTAATTCACTCTGTGGGTCCCTTCTCTTTTTGTTCTACCCCCCTTTGAGCTCCAATATAAAGCCTTTCTAGTCATATTGTTCTCAGGTTTTCTTAAACGCTGTCCGTCTTTTCCTTACGTCTTGACTGACTTGAATTAGTTTACATTTCCCGTTATAGTTACAAGCCAATGATTCTTTCATTGTATTTAGTTTCCTCTCTGCTGCTCAGTGTTTCTAGTTATACGTTTCAAATGTACAGCACTCAAACTTTTATAACAAATATCTCTAAAACTCCTGTAAGGATCAACATAATTTTCTGAATTCATTATCGGACTAAAATATGACCTCGAAAAATAGAATACACAGTAACTTACACACATTGTGGAGACTGTTTTAGAAATCTGTTAACATATGCAGCGGTACATGGTGATTATTTTGATAGCATGTTCCTCAGAAAATAAAATATTGTGGACATTTTATTTACAGGGAGCTACTGAAGGAGGCTGAACACATGAAACGCATAAGAACTGAGTTAAAAAAGTTTTTATGAGATTATGACAGTACACGATGTCTCCACTTCACTATTCGAAATAGGGGCACTTTGGTTTTCCGCCTCTAAAAGACGTGCAGTGTAATGTTTTGCAAAGCTCTTGTCACTCTATTTCCTGTAAACACGCCAGCTGTATGTTTCCAATCAGTGTCTGTTTAAACATATATATATATATATATATATTAAACATGAACATATACAAGAGAAAAGTAACAGACTAAACTGCACAGCAGAAATGGTGGGACTGAGAATAAATACAAAGAAAACTTAGATCATGACAAACAGTCCAAACCAACAACCAGTGACCAAAAGTAACCAATCACTTGAAAATGTAGAACATTTCATATATCTTGGCAGTGTGTTGTCCCTACTGGGAGGGACAGAGGAAGACATACAGTCACGTCTGAACAAAGCTAGAGCTGCTTTTGGAAGGATGAGGCAAATCTGGAAATCCAACAATTACTGCAGAGAAACGAAACTCCGACTCTTCAAGAGCATCATTTTGCCAGTTCTTCTTCATGGAGCGGAATGCTGGAGAATGACTGAAAAAGATGCACACAAGCTGTCCACCTCACACCACACATGTCTACGTAGAATTATCAAAATTTTCCGGCCAGATACAATCTCAAACACTAAACTACTTCAAGCCACACACCAAGAAACTTTAGACAGTATGATTACCAAGAGAAGTTTAAAATGGCTTGGCCACGTTATGAGAATGACTTCTGATATACCTGCCAAAACAGCTCTCACATGGACACCAGAGGGAAAGAGAAAACAGGGGCGCCCAAAAACAACATGAAGACGAACGATGGAAAGTAACCTGAGTGCGGTATCTTTGACATGGAAAACTGCACTGAAGATTGCACAGAACAGGAAAGCATGGAAAGTCCTCTCTGAAGCCTCATGTGCCACTAGGCAAAACGAGAACTGATGATAATGATGATATGTATATATATATATATATATATATATATATATATATATATATATATATATATATATAGAATGCAAATAAGGTAAAAAGATGTTTACACCACAGTATTTTTGCTACTAGGACACGATTTATTAACAGTTTGCTTGCGAGTCTAATTTCAACAATTGACACCAAACGGTTACTGAATTACAGTTTTTTAAAGTTGAGCATGACTTTTGAAACGCATTATAGAAATTAGTTTAGCTGTGGTCCGTGGTTTCGTTCCATACAGCAGCACTGATTTGACGTTAGAATCAAACATGTTAAGTTAAGTATTAGTTTTATTGTCCTTGAACTTCCCCAGTTTTCCTAGTGCAATGAAAATAACTCATGCCTTTTGCATTCGTTTTTTAATATCTGCCAATCCCCCCCCCCCCCCCTCCTAAAAAAAATGCATAGTTACTGAAAGGAACAAACATACGCACAATTTTGACATTCTGCATCTTTGTAATGCAGTAAGTTAAATTACTCAAATTTCACACTAGAATACTTTAGGGTTCCACCAATCAATTGACACCTTTTTTGGCACCTGGGTCACGATAGTTTTTAAGCATAGGCCTTTCCCGTTAGTTTGGTGTGGGGCCTCCTTTTTGCGTGGCTGGCATCTCCTGGGCATGGATGCTGTCAGATGTCTGATGTGAGCCTGTGGGTTGGCTGCCTGGAACAGATCACGACCATTGGCGGGAGCAACGTTTCGCGCGACAAACACGTCTTTGCAGCTCCACCCACAGGTTCTCAGTCGGACTCATGTCTGCAGACAGGGATGGTCAGGGAAGAGTTTGAATGTTACTGGCAGTCAGGAACTGCGTGGTCAGCTGTGCAGAATGGGGTCTGGCGTTGTCCTGTAGAAAAAGATATATGTTGGCATCCCAACAATGGAAGGACACGTGGTTGATGAATTTCATGAACGTAACGTTGCGCATTCAAGCTTCGTTCAATGTGCACCAATTGATTTCTTCCGTTGTAACTGATCATTCCCCATACCCTTACACCCCCACCACCGTGCAGCGGAGCTTTATCAACACAATTTTGGGCTAAACCTTCATTTCGTCAATGGTAGACTCTACGCCGTCTATCACGACCCTGCAACAAACATAAAGATTCGTAACTGAACCAGACACGTCTCCACTGATTGCCACTTGCCCAAAGACAATGTTGGTTGGCACAAAAAAGTCGATTTTGGCGGTGGCGACGCGTAAGGAAAGGGCCTCGGTGTGTTCGTCGAGCCCAAAGTCCAACATCATGCAGTCTGTTCAAAACAGTTTGATCGGACACATGACGTCCTGGAGGCAATGCCTGTGCAGTTGAGGAAGCTGTTGTAACCCTGCTTACTAAGCCGAATTAGGCGATTCTCCGCTGCTGTTGTCACTCTGGGTCGTCCAATTGCAATGTCAGTCTTTAACTAAACCGGTGGCTTGGAACCGGTGCCAAAGTCGACTGATGGTACTTTTTTTTTATGCACGTTTAGATGCCTGGCAATCTGACTTTGACTTTCACCTGCCTGCAATCGGCCAATAGCCACATTCCTTAAATTTATCACTAGAGACGCCATTCGTGACTGCTTGAAAATGAACTGATCGTTTTGATGTAGCGTTATCCTTTTACAGGGTTTCAATTGAATAGTGTTTACCGCGTATAGTGAGCTGTGCTTACAAATTTGGTCTTAAACACAACTGACCACTGCGATGTAACGATTACAGAAACCCACGCAATTCACGCCCACATGCTCACTGGACACGGTAAACAACATTTGAGTCCGCTTTTCACATAGCCGAGTACGATGTTTTATTTACAAACTAACAGTACATATTTTACCGTAACAGATGTGTGACTCTATATTTCTTTATGTGGGATGTTACCAAGAAAATTTAATTACTATTTGCCTGGTTTATTCACATTATCAGTACCTTTTCCTTGTGGATTTAAGATTTAAAAGTCGTCTTGTCTCACCAAGTATGATTAATTTATCTTGTATCTGCTTTTGTAAGTATGGGACAGAATTTATTGGTTTTAATAGTTTCAAAATCAAATTTATTCGCAGACAAATCATACATGTTTGTAATTTATTCGCTCTAAATGATCACTCATATTCTTTTTCTCACCTCAACCATGAATAGACGTAAGGTTTCTTTTTTTTTTTTTAATGTGTATATACATTTCAGATGTTTTTAAACAATACTTATATTTATGAGCTAATCAGCACATAATAATAATAATAATAACAATAACAATAATAATAATAATAATAAAAATAATAATAATAATAATAATAATAATAAAAATAATAATAATAATTGTAATTATTTCCCATACAAAAGATTAAAGCCTCTGAATCCCTCCCGCCCCTAGAAATAGTGACAGAGCTTGGACCCCTTCCCCCCCCCCCCACCCCTTTTTCCTTCTTAAAGATTTCCTTGTGACGGTGCCACTGTCTAACATATTTCCAGTGTGATCATATCGTGACCATAATTGTTCTCATATGTGTTATTTTTGTTGTTACGTATTAGCTATGCATGCTCTCATCAATACTTGAACTGTCTCAGATTGTGGGATCCCAGTTCTAGGCCGGGTTCGCAGGATTGTTGGCGGGACCCAAGCTGAGAGATGTACGTTTCCTTGGATGGTCTATATATCACGTGACCCAGGCAAGGACGACCTGTGTGGCGGGACGTTGGTGTCTGACAGACACATCATCACGGCTGCCCACTGTTATGAGTAAGACATTTAACTTTCTCTACTGGGATTAACTATATCATCATCACCAACATTTTGTGTTACGACGTTGGTGCAGAAGAGACATTCCTGTTGAGATAAGCAAGCAAACATGAAGACCTTTTCCATAAAGGTGCAAGTATACGTTAGCCCAGGCGAAGGCCTATACATGTGTAACTAAGGATAACAAGCGATCAGTACAGGTGAAGCTACACAAAAAGCATTAGGCGAGTTAGGTGGCACATGTACAGTTTACTACTGCGAGGATTGCCTCAGAAAAACATGCACTGGAAAAGCAGAGGGGAGAGCCTGGAAACTCACTGATAGTAACACCAACCACTATCATTAGACGCTGAAGGTGCTTGGAAGACTGAGTACGGTGTTGATGTGGTGTTGCGTGAATTCAACTGCCTCGGCCAATCATTGTAATGTCTAGCACTAAACGATTTGATCACTGTGGATATTTACTGTTGATCTGTTCTCTCTAAAATTCCTTAAACGAGATACGACAAAATATCACTGAACTCTGAGAACACAAAGCCGTAACGAGCGACAGCCAGTCAGTTAAACTGTTAACTCACCTTGTTACACTGACTCCCACTGCCAATGTTCTGTGGGACGATAGTGGGTGTTGAGGCTAAATAAGTCCCAAAAAACATTTCGGCAGGGGGCCTCAAGTTACCTGAGCTCCAACTCATCAGGCGCTCTGCTACGGTCGCCTGCCCGAGCTCACAGTCATCTGGCGCTCCTGCTACGGTCGCCTGCGCGAGCTCACAGTCATCTGGCGCTCCTGCTACGGTCGCCTGCCCGAGCTCACAGTCATCTGGCGCTCCTGCTACGGTCGCCTGCCCGAGCTCACAGTCATCTGGCGCTCCTGCTACGGTTGCCTGCCCGAGCTTACAGTCATTGTCGCTCCTGCTACGGTTGCCTGCCCGAGCTTACAGTCATTGGCGCTCCTGCTACGGTCGCCTGCCTGAGCTTACAGTCATTGGCGCTCCTGCTACGGTCGCCTGCCCGAGCTTACAGTCATTGGCGCTCCTGCTACGGTCGCCTGCCTGAGCTTACAGTCATTTGCGCTCCTGCTACGGTCGCCTGCGCGAGCTCACAGTCATTGGCGCTCCTGCTACGGTCGCCTGCCCGAGCTTACAGTCATTGGCGCTCCTGCTACGGTCGCCTGCATTTGAAGGATCCCCATCTGCCCTGAATTGTTTAGACCTAAACCTAAACCTTCATCATGACTCAAAAGATCCCAGGAATTTGTCTGAAAAGGCATGATACTGAGATCACATAACCAGTCTCCTGCATATTGCTCTATAAAACAATGTGGGTCATTTATTGTATATTTACTTACTATTAACACGATATACCTCAAGGCGTGGTAATGTCCTTTATTTGACTAACTGTGATGTTGGGCACGAGCTGAGAGGCACCGCCGCCAATAAAATAGCGGGACCAGTGTTGAAAAGCAACGATTTCGGCAGACTATTGTTAGATCAGGAGATAATCAGAAAACGAAGATTCAGCCAAGACTCGGCCTAGTTGTGCGCACTGAATTTTAAAATATTTTTAAGAACTGTAGAATTAACTAAAAACATATAAAATATTAATTACTGAAAGAGATAAAACAATTTGATTTTAAATATCTAGGATCAGTTTCATACTAGAAAGAAGGATGAATAGAGAAATCAACGCACGATGGGCTAATGCAAAATAGGTCCAGGAAGAACTAACAGCCCTTTTGTTATATAGCTTTTTTTCTATCAAGGGAAATCTTATTTAAAACTTTGGGGGGGGGGGCGGGGGGTGTGGTTGGGGGGGGGGGGGGGAATCACTTTGTTCTACGAACGTCAAACACGAATGATCTTTACTTACGCTAATGAGCCCAGAATCATAACAATAGAGAAGAGATGGTTAAGAAGAACTGCCAGTGTAACAGAAATGATAACATTAAAAGACAGGAAATAAAAAAAACTAGACCTAAACCAGTCATACAGTTTATTTATGAGCAACATATGAGATAGTTTGGTCATCTCAGGAGAATGCCTTGATACCAGTTGTTGAGAGAACCAAGCTAAAGAAATACAAGGAATACGCTAGAGGAAGCCCATGCACAACATGGAGCAACGGATAGCATTGAGAACAGCCTTCATAAAACGCAGACCAACATATATAACTTACAGCAAACAGTAGAAAGACAATTGTTACACGTCCTACCTCCTCCTCCCCCCCCCCCCACACACACACACACACATACACACACTTCAAAGAAGTAACTGCTGGAGGAAGCAAATAAGAAGGGGACGGAGAACAGAATGTCAAAATATATACAGGTGTTGACACTACAGAGAGCTAGTTTTAACATATTCTGTGAATTTTTGACAACTGCAAACAAGCCAAACAAAAACAACTCCTCTTTCCTCAATTCCACAATTACTCTTTTCGATTTCCAACTGCCAAGATATTTTTGTGTATTCGCAAGATGCACACGGGCGTCCTATCTCACTACCCAGACGGGAAATTACTAGAAGTAGAAGTCCACGTGAAAGGATCCCAGATCCCATGGCACACGGGTATTAACCCATAAGAGTTCCGTTCTTCTTCTAACTCAAGTCTGAGTACAAAGAAGCTCAGCACAGTGCACAGTTTCTGTAGCACCGGCAAGGATCCGTTAGGCTGCTCTCTTCGATTTCCAACTGCCATGATATTTTTTATGTGCGCAGCAATGCACACGGGCGTCTGATCTCACTACCCAGATACCAGGGGACACTACTAGAAGTCCAAGTCCACGTGAAAAGATCCCAGCCCTTACCGGGGGATTCAGCCCGGAACCTCTAGCACTCGAAGCGGACACCCTGCCGCGAGACCACGCAGCCCCCGCTGGGATAGGAGAAAAAGTCTAGTGTGGGCTGTCAGGACACGAATTGATACACACTTTATGTGGATCTAAACTGTCTCCCTGATTTGCGCTTTTCATTATTTGTTACTTTTTTTTTACAGCAATCTGGGAACAAATTGGCCTGTTTTGTATATAGGAGAGTACAACAGACAAGGCGGAAGTCCCAAAACCCGATTTGTGTCGACATCTTACAAACTATCGGTGCATCCACGCTACAGCAGACTAACGTTCAGTAAGTGCCTGCCTGTCCGTACAGTTCTCTTTATATGCATTATATACATAAAATACAGAAATCTTCTGAAGATTATCAGTTTGTGCACACATTCATCAAATCAGGACAATGCATTCTAACCGCGTACTGACGGTTGAATATTTCTAATTTTTACTTGAGTCTGATAGCACATTCTGCCAGGTAGTGTGGTTTGCCTTTATTAAATTGACAAGACATATATTGTTTTGATTCATTGTAGCTATTTATTTTGTATTTTGTCTTGTATTCGTGTGTGTGTTTGATTGTGGCGGTGTTGGTGGTGCTGGTGGGGGGGGGGGGAATTTCCATGATTTAGCAGGGCCAAAGTAATTTCTCATTCTAATGTTTATTTCTTCGAAGAGCGCCACCTCCTTTTCTGATTGTTGTATTGTTTCCCATTAGGAAATATGTTGTGTAATTCCTGTCTACCTTATCAACACAACCGTGAAACACGTTCTAATCTTCCAAAGAATTGCATTTTAAGATATCATTTCTATTTTCCACTTTCTGATTTGTGCTCGGGTGACATACATTTGTGTTCTTCACACAATAATGATAAGTACACAATTTGCCAGTTTTGTTTCCAGTTCCTGTTTTGTTTATTTTAGAAGAATTGTGCTATGTTATGTGTGTGCTTGTTTGATCTTGTGTCATTCACGACCACATGAGATTCGAAACAAACCTGTTTTTGTCTCGCTTACATCATGCGGTCAAGCAAACTATGATTTACCGCCTTGCCTTCCCCCTCCTCTTTCTCATCTCCTTTCTCAGCTGTTTCAATATTTTCAAGTTAATTCGTCCTAACAAGTTGCAACCACCTTTCCCCACGTCCCTCCCTCTCCAAAAACAAATGATGACAGTCTACCTCTAATGAGCAAATTCACTTCAAGGTCTGTGATGTGCGCCTAGTCGTTATATTTGTTTGAATTATTTGTTCGTTTTTTTTTAAAACTTTCTCAGTCTCATTAGTCTACTAATCAATAATTAAAAGCAGACGATTCTAAACAGAAATTAACATATATTTGATATTATATGATACTCAACAGAAAAAACGTGTATATTATATGCAGTTTATAGTTGATGAAATAGTTGTGCGGGTTTTGAACACACCCAAAAAAAATTACTTGTATAAGAACACAAATAAATGTGATATAACATCATTAGTTTGGCAACAAACCTCTATTTCAAAATTGTTTCTTCTTCTTCTTCTTCTTCTTCTTCTTCTTCTTCTTCTTCTTCTTCTTCTTCTTCTTCTTCTTCTTCTTCTTCTTCTTCTTCTTCTTCTTCTTCTTCTTCTTCTTCTTCTTCTTCTTCTTCTTCTTCTTCTTCTTCTTCTTCTTCTTCTTCTTCTTCTTCTTCTTCTTCTTCACCTTCTTCACCTTCTTCTTCTTCTTCTTCTTCTTCTTCTTCTTCTTCTTCTTCTTCTTCTTCTTCTTCTTCTTCTTCTTCTTCTTCTTCTTCTTCTTCTTCTTCTTCTTCTTCTTCTTCTTCTTCTTCTTCTTCTTCTTCTTCTTCTTCTTCTTCTTCTTCTTTCTTCTTCTTCTTCTTCTTCTTCTTCTTCTTCTTCTTCTTCTTCTTCTTCTTCTTCTTCTTCTTCTTCTTCTTCTTCTTCTTCTTCTTCTTCTTCTTCTTCTTCTTCTTCTCTTCTTCTTCTTCTTCTTCTTCTTCTTCTTCTTCTTCTTCTTCTTCTTCTTCTTCTTCTCTTCTTTTTTCTTCTTTTTTCGTTGTCGTCGTCTTTGTCTTGCTCTCCTCACCATTCCCTCCTCTTTTTTCTTTTTCCCCTCAATGAAACATACGCCTTCAGCCACTTAGCGCTAAGTCAACCTAGCACTTGACAAATTACTCATCACTTAGAAACATTACTATATGACGAGTGGTGATGTTTAAGCAAGCCTATCTTTGCTTGTATCCAGGTTATGACATTGCCATCTTGACACTGAACATCCCTATCGCACTGGAGAGCTACGAGTGTTTGCGGCCAATATGTTTACCCGATGAGCAGCATGTGCTTCGTCTCGGGGACTCCTGTACTGTTGCAGGCTGGGGGTCTACGTCTAGAACAAGAAGTAAGTAGAGCTTTCACGGCTGGCAATACAAGCTTAGATCAACGGGTAGATGGAGCTTTCACGGCTGGCAATACAAGCTTAGATCAACGGGTAGATGGAGCTTTCACGGCTGGCGATACAAGCTTAGATCAACGGGTAGATGGAGCTTTCACGGCTGGCGATACAAGCTTAGATCAACGGGTAGATGGAGCTTTCACGGCTGGCGATACAAGCTTAGATCAACGGGTAGATAGAGCTTTCACGGCTGGCAATACAAGCTTAGATCAACGGGTAGATATGGCTTTTAAGGCTGGCGATGCAAGCTTAGATCAACGGGTAGATATGGCTTTCAAGGCTGTGGATCCAAGCTGAGATCAACGGGTAGATATGGCTTTTAAGGCTGGCGATATAAACCTAGATCAACTGGTAGACAGAGCTTTCAAGGCTGGCGATACAAGCTTAGATCGACGGTTAGACAGAGATTTCAAGGCTGTCGAAACAAGCTTAGATCAACGGGTAGGTATGGCTTTTAAGGCTGTGGATCCAAGCTGAGATTAACGGGTAGATATAGCTTTCAAGGCCATGGATACAAGCTTGGATCAACGGGTAGATTTCTATTGTATAACTACATGTAGATAGAACTTGTAAAATCCAGACTGAGTACGATTGTTAAGATCAACACGTCTAGAGCTATCAAACTGCATGATGTAGAAGGGGGAGAAACACACACACACACACACACACACACACACACACACACACACAAACGCGCGCGCACATAATTAGAGCTGTCAAATTGAAGGCTGAGATCTAACCATTGAACAAATAGGTGGAGCTTTCAAACAACAGTTTGTGTATATAGGCTATGTTCAGATCAACAAGTAGGTAAAAGTTTCATCATTGGCTTGTTATTGCTCTAATCTTACTACACGAGCAAGCCAGCTTTCAAAATTGCAAGGGCTGGGGAAAAAGATCAAAGTTCATATGCGATGATTCTCTTTTATCTTCTACTGGCTCGCCTCATCGCATGCTCGCTGCCATCTCACAAACCGACATCACTCGACGAGCAGAAAAAATGGACGACTGGAAAACAACACGATACTGTTCCAGTACTTTAATCTTCCACTCGCGGCTTACACTGCCGGCACATGAACTAGACAACTGTCCAGGCACACATTATAATGCAAGTGTCAACTATTACCTTCAAGCAGAAATCACAATCACACTAACATCTTGAACGAAACACAGCAGCTGTCCTGACAGACAAACTCAGACGACCCGCAGACATATTACTGGCCAGCTTTTTTCGCCAAGTTGGACTGGAACAAATTCACTCACAAAAACATCTGCTGAATCCACACATCATCCACCGCTGTCCATGCACACTGTTCCTAGGTCCAAAACGAGACTGCTCACAAACCTTTTCTTCGCTAGTATATAGCCCTCTGATCTATCCTGTTCTAGAATATTCTGGATTCATTCTCACGAATTTCCCACTGTTGAAAGTCGTGTCTGGCCCGTGATAATTCACATTTCACACAAATCCTGTGAACAATCATGTTTCACATAAAAAACCTGACTTTCAGATGTCTCTCATGAAACTCAAGACATAAATCTCGTGTTATCTCAGCCAGTCAAAACATTCGTCTTACATCTATTACTGACGTCATCTATCGGGCATAAATTAATGAGGAGAAAATGACTCACTACATTCTCCCCCACCCCAAAAAAATGTTTTTACATTTTCAATTAATCAGGTGTGAACATTTCACTGAACATTGTGATTCTAGACCTTTGTAGTGAATCATTTTCGACAAGTTCATTTCCAACCAAGTTCCCTTTACCTTATTAGGTTAACAATTCAAACACTCTAAAATGCCATCTGTTGGGTCTTTGCACGACTGTGAATACCTTAATGGGATCCTCACCCCAGGCACTCCCCTTTTTAGTGCGGAAGACCAATAATCTGGCTCCATAGGTATCCCCACCCAGTTCTAAAGTCGGTATACAACCGAACCCCTCTCCTGGCACCCCCCGATCGGTGCGGAAGTCCAAAATCTTGGCTCTAAAACCGAAGTGTGACCCCATGAAGTCCCACCCTCGCTATTCCCATTCATGAAAGTCCTCAACAATGGCTAAATCAGCAATGTATGGTTTTGTTCCCAACTATGTAAGGTACAAGATGTAGTTAATTACCTTGTCTTCAGAAGCCACAACATGTCTCATTAACACACATATTCAAATTAAATGCTACACCAATTCAATTTAGTATACTAGTAAATGTAACATTTTCTGGTGAGGTGTATTTTAATCCTAAATGTTGTCTCCCTTTAATTGTTTACTATATTATACCCGTTCAAATCAAAACATACATTTTCCAAGTTGTAAATTCATATAATACATTCATACAATAATACAATGCATACCCTTGCATAAAATGATTTCAGTTAATATACGTTGTAATAGCAGTTGTAACATGTTCTACAAACGTGACATGATATCTGGTAAATGATTGTCTGTTCCTTTGATGTGTTCAATGTTAAATTTGAATTGTGATATCAACAATGCCCATCTATATACCCTTGGATTGCTATTGGCATCAATTGTTAATAATTTTGTCAACCCCAAGTTATCTGTTAAAATAGTGAATTCTTTTCCCAAAAGAAACTTCTGAAACTTTTTTAGACTAATAACTAGTGCCAACGCTTCTCGTTCAAATGTGTTGTATTTTTGTTGAGTTTGGTTAAGTTTCTGTGACATATACATTACTGGGAGTAATGTTTGTGAATGTTTCTGCGCAAGCATGCTAGCTATTGTGTGACCGCTGGCATCTGATTGTAGAAAAAATCTTTTGGAAGGGTCAGGTTGTCTCAAAATAGGATATTTTGAAAAACAGTTTTTTTATTTTAACTAGAATTTCCTCATGTGTCTCATTCCAATCTGATTTTTTCAATTGTTGATTCTTTAATAACTCTGATAGTGGTGATGTTAGTGTTGCTAAATTTGGGATGAATTTACCGTAATAGTTTATTAACCCTAGTAGAGATTGTAGCTGCTTTTTAGTTTTAGGTTTTTGGATCTTCAAAATTTTTGAAACAATATTTTCATCTGTCTGGACTAAACCTTCGCATATAACATGTCCTAAGTAATCAATTTTGGTGTATGCAATTTCAGTTTTTAAAGGATTTACTGTCAATTTCGCGTCATTTATTCTTGATAGGACTTTTTGTAGGGTAGTGCAGTGATCGTGCAATGTTTTGGTGTGTATACAGATGTCATCCATATATGCTGTGACGTGAGGAATTGCATATAACAGTTTCCTAACCATTTTTGTGAAAATTTTCGGAGCGTTTATTAATCCAAATGGTAAACGCAACCATTGTTTGAGTCCAATTGGAGTTTGAAAGCTAGTATATTTTACAGCTTCTGGTGTTAGTGGTATTTGCCAGTAGCCTTTTGAAAGGTCAATTTTTGTAAAAAATTTTGAGTTGTATAATTCTTGTATGATTTCATCTGACGAAGGGATGGGCTCAGTTTCTAAATAGGTAATTTGGTTTATTTTCTCTTAAAAAGGTCGACATAGGTTTAGGTAAAGATTCTAACATTTTGTTCCTTAATAATAAATCTACTAATAATTTATAATTATCTCTAACATTGGCCGAATCAATCCATTTATCAAAAATATTCTGAACTTCCAAAAAATAGTCAGTGAACGTCTGATCAGACTTTGGCTTTAAATCCAGAAATTTTTTCCTATACCCTGCTTCATGTAGGTCATAGTGTCGCATGATGCGATCTTTAATATAGTCAAAGTCTAATCTTAGATGTTCAGGGACTGTTTCTAAGATCTTCAATGGTTCAAATGCTAAATGTTTTTGAAAAATAATGACCCACTGGTCTTTTGGAACATCATGAAAGCGCATTTGCAAAAGAAAGCTAGATATATAACTACCAATGTCATCCTTTTCCGAGAAATTTCTAACTATACCTGCATACTTTTTGAATTTATTTTCTTCTTCTTTTAATCTCTCTTTTTGAATAGCAGCTTCTCTTCTGGAATCATTTTCCATTTCTTTAGTTCTGATTTGTGCCTCTGTCTTTTCTTTTTCAGTCTGAATTGACGCAGCTATCTTCTCACGTTCCAAATTCAGTTCTTGTTCTTTTAATATTCTCTCTTGTTCCATTTGTTTTTCTTTTAATATTTTCTCTTGTTCAAGCTGTTTTTCTCTTATCTCTATCTCCTGTTTTTTCATTTCTTTTTCTTGTTCCAGCTGTTTTTCTCTTATCTCCATCTCCTGTCTTTTAACCTCTAGTTCGTGTGCTCTTAATAATCTCCGTTCTTCCCTGGCATCGTCTTGCATTTTCTTTTCTTTCTCATCCAACTCTTTTTTCTGTTGATCACAAAATTTTCTAAGTTCTTCCCCTTCTAAATTTAATTCTTTGCCCAGCTTGATCAGTTCTGCCAAGTTAGACATTTTTATGTCTTTACAATGTAAACAACAATTTGTTACAATACCTTTCTTTCAAAATACACACCTTAAAAAGAACAATATAAGTTCAATATAATGAACTAGTAACTTGAATTAATAACTAAATGTCCCTGGGTATCAATACCAAACCTTACAATAAAGTGGATGTAACTCTTCCAACCACCAAGTCTATTACTAAATAATTATATGTATATATATATATATATATATATATATATATATATATATATATATATATATATATATATATACAGTTGATGTTTGAGAAGAAGAGTTAACTAATTTTTTTTTAAGCTTATGGGAGAGTAAATCACTTAAGCACACTTGAGAAATTAGATATGACAGCAAGAATAAATGATATATTATTTGATAAAGATTATTAATCAACTAATAGAATGTTATAGCACTAGAGTAGATGCAGTGGATTATCAAAGTATCAGATGTAGTGGACTATCAAAGTATTTACGAAATAAATAACTAATTAATTTGTAAATGTGTAACAATGTTATAATAATCCTGTGTAGCACAGTA